GTAAAAATGAGCATTCTTCTGCTAAATGTGCTCACATCTTATTCATATATGCACCCGTGTTGGTCTGGTTACCTGCTCTGGTCTGGTGCAGACAGCTAGCACCACACTTTAGGTAATATTCAATTATGATAAAAGTCCTCAGAAATATCTGTCCACACATCATATACCAGAGTGATCCTTTCACTTTGTTTTAGTTTCCTATTGTGAAGGACTATATTTTCAGTAGAAGACCTTTTAGACAGGATGTCAAAAATAGAAATCTAGATAAGTCATTGTTTTCTTAAATTAAGTGCATTTGTTCTTTGATTTAGGAGGTAAAAGAAACATTCTGCCAATGGAACACGTCCATTTACATTTAAAATAAGAAAACACAATTGCATTGTCTTATTTCAACTGCATATTATATAATTATGTTATGTAATTACTCATTCCATTGGCAAACTGTCTCATTTACCTACTCAAATTAAGGGTAAATACATTTAATTTAAGAACTTTTTACTTATTTTTACTTATTTCTTCCAGTGTAAAAAAACATAAGAGCGCTCCATAGTGCTTCGATTTTCAGCAGATCTTGTTACTTGTTCCTACAATTAAAATCTTTGTGTAGACGGTCAGTTGTGATACTTTTGACCACCATGAATCGTTTCGTTCACCATAAATTGTTGGATTGCCGTACTCCTAAATTCTGCTTTTGCTTTCTTTCAAAATCAAATCAGTAAATGAATAATTTAGTACTAATCTGTACTAATCTGTATACTTTTACCGATAGAAGAATATATATTGTAAAAAAAAAAAAAAAAGAACATAATGCTTTAAAACAATTTTTAACCCCTTTGGTGGAGACTAATGGTGAACTTGGATCTAAAAATGTGTTTTATGAGAGTGGGCTGAGACAGGAGCCTTGGGGGACACCACTTCTGATCATATTTTGATCACATTTATCCTCTAGAGTTATATATATATATATATATATATATATATATATATATATATATATATATATAAGCCCATTTACCTGATGAAGCTTGGTCGAATGTGTCATTAAATAAGAAACTATCCCTACATAAGATTGCCATAAAATAAAAAATGAATAACACCAGCAGTTCATTAAAAATCCAAAACTCAAGACTATTGTTGTAAAAGCCATACCCAAACTAGGATCAGCATATAAATTTAAAATCTGTTCTTAGCTTTAATCTAACATTTTGTGTGATGTCTGTCTGACTGTGAGAAACTAGCTGATAGGTTTTTACTGTGAGCCACATCACATCTGATTGAAAGATTCAAATCACTACGGCAATATAATGGCATAAAACAGGCTAAAAAAGTGCTTGATTCACATACTTTGAAGAAAATATATCATTTTTGTTTTCTTCTATGAAACAAATAATTCCTTGCTTTAGTTGTAATGTTTTTATGTATAAATAGTAAGGGTTGAATTATAACTGGATATGTTAATGTTTTTATTGGGATTTTTACACTACAGAAGAACAAAGGAAGTAGAAGCAACTGTTTTAATAAATCTCTACAACATAAAGTATTGAAATCTAGGGTTGAATCTTTTCAATGTGGTGTTCTAATTGAACAGCTCTAGCTCATATTGGATTAATACTTTTAATCTTTTTAAATCTTGCGACAGATTCATTTAATTTAGTTCTGTTTAACTGGGTTTTGAAACAATATGATTTACCCAAATACTGAATTGCACTTAATATAGTGTTAAGAGAGCAGTTCAGCACAAAGGGAAAAAAAAACAGACGCATGATTATTATCCTTTTCTATAAACCAAAACTTAACTATGGTCTGCATTTACATTCAGCCCCACAGAGCCATTAATACATGGTGGTGGCAACATCATGCTGTGGAGTCGCTTCTGTTCTGCAGGGACTGAGAAGCTGATCAGTTGGTTTTCTAGCCGACCCGCAGCATGATGTTGCCACCACCATGCTTATTTCAGGGTTCCCACACCTCAGGTAACATTTACCTTTTGCTAACAATTTTAGTTTAATTTGTTGATGGGTTTGCAAAAGTGATTGAAATAAATGGTATATGGGAGTAAAAAATGCTGGTCAGAATATTATGAACAGGATTACATTTTCTGTAGGAATTGAGAAAACACAAGAAAACACTTCAGGATCAAGCATTAGCAGCCCTTAATTTCGTTTTATATTTATTCCGTTTGTCATGTTGTTTATCCTTTTGCTTCATTCAGTAACAGGTTTATCCTTATTGTGATTCTGAAAGGTGCTTTTGGTTCAAATATATTGCATTAAAAGATTAACTTAACAAACACATTAGTGAAAGACAAAGAACCGATTTAAAACAAATTTAACTTATTCTCTATCTATTCGCTTACAAATATTCAGGGTTTTCACAAGGATGTCTTATGTAGGAGGTTCAATCCATTTTGTTTTCTCTGCCTCTTTGCAAATTAAAACACTATTTAACTGCTTATTGTGAGGCGACGCTCAGATAAAATGAAGCTTTTTACACTACAACCTGACCATCATTCCATTCTCATCCGTTACTCTCCACCATAACTGCCTCAGCGCTAAAAGTAGCGCCTTACTTTATTATAAATAAGAACTTGATGACCTATCATGGAGTTTCCTGGTTGGTTGCACAGTTTCATGTTTTCAGTCCGCTGAACATTCTGACTTGCATTTCTTCAAAGAAAACTTTTCCCTAAAGTTAACACTGGTAAACTGGTACTCTCTTTCTGATAGACTAATGCAACGGCTCAGCCAGAGTTTATTGGATAAGAGCTGCTTCAGTTTAATACCTGCCATAAAGTCTTAAAGCTACAGTGTGTAATTTTCAGTGACATCTAA